AGGACTTAATTCTCATAAAAGATAAAGACGAGTAACGAACTTACTGTTATAAGCAGCAACATATCCATAGGCAGCACCATTTTTACTGCCGCTGACAAATACCGTGTAACTGCCAGTGGCACTGAAATAGTGAAAACCGGCTTTTACTGATGCGGTCACATAGAAGAAGGCTTGATTGAAGTAATATATCGGGGTCCACAACGGAATCGGATATCCGTCTAATTCTAAGAAATCCATTGATGTAGCGTCACCGATCACCTAAATAGCAATGAACACTCTGCGGCAAGGCAACTGGGGCTAATCAAAATGTTACTAGTCGTAGACAATTGAGGAAATAAATCATTTTTGGCTATTTGTGAAAAAAAATTTAGTTAGCTAACAAAGTTGAAGTGATCAAAAGTTACAGCAAGCGTTCGTTTGAAACAAAATTCTTTCAAGTTCCCTTACTCCTCCGCTGACGTTCCACGGTCTATTCGTTTTTTCCTCCCCCTGGCAAAAGACGAAAGAAGCATTCTCAACTCCAAAAGGAAACAAATTCTAAGCCTTCATACAGAACTTAAAAACAGATTTTTTCTGATCAAAAACCGCTTACTTTGCAGAAGTAAAAATTCAACTAGCCACGGAAAATGTTTTTAGTGTATTCGTAATTTTGATTCAGTTTTATTACAGAATGCCCAGCACGGCTGGAAAAGACAATACATGGTTGGGAATTTGTATTATTGAAAATAAATGGCTGATAGTTTACCGTAACAATGTTTTCATTTGAGAGTGCGGTAAAACCAACAATTCCTGTGACGAACTGAGACCAAGACACATCTAAATCTAGGAAAGCGCCATTGTACTTATCTGCTACACCGTACCGCAATATTTGCAGCATTGCAGAGCTAAATTCAATTTATATTTAAAATGCATAAGCAAATGCTGAACACTATATGCATAATGAACCCAGGCTGGAACGCACCGGGCGGGCCCGTGCGATCATGCGTTTTTGCACAGGACTTG